ACTGACACTTGGCTCAGATATGATTTTGCCTTGAGAAAAGGGGCAGAGGTAGACCAGATGACCTCCAGTGGTCTCTTTCAAACCTACTCTTCTGATTCAATTCATCAACCCCCTTCATGATTTTACAGACCTCTATCACAACTCTTCTTGGCTTTCTTCCCAAAATGAGATGTCCTAGCCTTTTTTTTTTTTTTTTTTTTTAAAAGTCTTCCTCAACCTAGCAGCTGCTTCATACTCCTGATGATTCTTGCTGCCCTTCTCTGTATCTTTTCTAATTTTACTACATGCTTTAAAATGTGGGGATCAGAACTGCATGGAATATTCATGATTTGGGTAAATTATGGGCTTATATAGTGACATCATGATGCTTTCAATTCTTTTAACAATATCTGAGACTATTTGCTTTTTAGGTCACTGCAGAGTACTTCAAAATGTTGGTTCAGACTACAGTGACTTCAAGGTCTCTCTTCCAAATGGTAGTGGCTAGTTAGGTTTAGTTGAGGTGCATATTTAGTTGAGGTCATTTTTCCTCATGGGCATTACTTTGCACATTCCAACACTGACAAGTTGTTCTCCCTTTTTGGGAACTGAGAGGAGACATATTTCCTCCTTCTCCATTTGTACAGTTTGACAGCCGCCCCAAAGCACCCTGACCCACTAGTCACAAACAGATTAAAGTGTGGTGCTGCTGTCCAACTGGTCAGCAGCAAAAGAGTCAGGATGCATGTTAATGGTAATCTTTATCCTTCAGCACAAATCCACACTAAGATGAAAAGCACTGCTCACTTCCCTCTGAACAACTGTTTTGGGCCTTCTACCTTAGGCAGGCACCAGTTATTCTCTGTTCACGTTTGAAACAATTCTCAAGAATTCTTTAATGCCTGTCACCATTCTGAGTTGAGGTAAGTTTGGTAACAAATTAAAAAAACATGCTTTCACTGAACATTCATAGAGCCACAGTCGCATTAATTTCACAGGGTCCTGATCCTAGGTTCCCTCAGACTTTTAAACAGATGAAAGAAGTTACCTTTTCCCAAGTCAAATGAAAACTTGTCTTTCCTGTCCACGCTGGAGTCAAATTTTGTGCCATCCAGAAGCCATCCTGTATAGTGCACAATCACTTTATCACCTATCATGGGGGATTCTGTCCCAGTTCCTTCCCTCTTGATAACCTGTGAAATAAATGCCAAGTAAATGACGCTTATTAAAAGGTACAAAAACAGTACAGACAAGACATTAACTTAACTATATATTTAGTGCTGGAAAAGCCTATATGATCTCAAGAGAGTGACACCTGATGAGGAGTCAAGTACGTATTAGCCATGCAGATCCAGGCATCTGGCCTTAGGGAGACAACTTCAGAAGTTGCAACCACTGTTTTGAGCGAGTTTGCTAAGTATCTGAAAGAAAACAAGCAGTTGGATGTGACATTTGAACTATGCTTCCAACTGAGGTTGTATTTTAAAACTGTATATAAAACCCTAATACATGATATAGGTAGATAAATTTACTATGTAATAATGTAAAATCTCTTCCTATTTCAGGAAATCATGAATAGAGGGATGGTGCTTTCCTCCTAGATCCATGGAAGCGTCTTCATGTCAGCAAGAACTAAACTTGTGAAATATTTTAAAAATCACCTAACTTGGCACTGCCTAATTTAACCTGGCAGGGTGAGGGGTGGGACGGGATGGGGGACTCTCAGAACCACTTTTCATTCCGCCCAAAACCTTTAGAGGGGGAGCTATGCTATATTACCAGTAGGCCACAGAAATTTATCAAAACATCAATAAGTTATGAAGTGCCAAAATAAAGGCTCCATGGACTACTTTGTCTCCTTGTATGCGACTTATAATGTTCTTTAATTTATAACCAAAAGCCATTAACTCCTTTCATTCAAAGATTTTTTTTCCCCAACAAACAAGAGTTGGAACTCCTGGATGCTACTCCTAAGTCTCAAAAACATAATCATTGTTACAGCTTTACCAGCAGACTGAACAGTATGTAATCCAGGATCTTAATTTTTATTCACCAAGAGTCTCAGAACACTTTTGCAAGAGAAATGGGATGGCAGTCCCATTTTACAGGTATTGAGTCTGGTATATTCTTTCCAAGAAATTCCCATACTAAGCTATAGTGCTTCATCTCCCAGTTCTCCAAAAAGCAACCTTCACTAATCTTCAGTTACCCCATCTATAAAAAGGAAAAAAAAAAAATCCAAAAAACCACCCCTGCACCTCCTTTCTTTCCACATAGCAGAGAGAGCCTGACCCATTAGCAGGCATCACTCCATAAACAGAACAACAAGCTAGAACTTCGATCTCCTGGCTCCCAGATTAGCACTTCTATTGGGCCACACAGAAGCAAACAACCCATTCAGCTTATTTTATATGTACCTAGAGAGCTTCAGGCTATTCTCAGGAGACAGGTAGATCTGTGGTACAACCTTGGAAAACCCAGAACACTAACATTAGTTTAAATGGAGACTTCCTCCTATGGCTTATTAAATCAGGATATATTTTTACTGAAAGGAGCCACAGAACTAAATATCCAAATCTCACCTTCCTGCTTCAAAGTGCAGGAGTACCAAGGTTGTAAGAACAGGGCAGAGAAACCCTTTCCCAATTTCACTGCTATAAGCAATCTGGTTCCTGTGGCCTCAAACAGAATATTCAATTGTGAGAACTGTCAAACCAAAAATCAAAGACTGTCAGATTTCTAAGTAATCAAGAACAGAAGTTTGTAACAACGGAAATCTGAGTGCCAGATATAATAAAGGAAAAAAATCAAATTTTAAGTGCACAAGTTTATACAAACAGAAGCTGTACCTGTATGTCTGTCTTTGGATTTAAGGAGATAGATGTATATAAAAATAAGCTGTAGCCTTTGGCCCTTGGTATAACCTAATTAACCATAATTAAAATTGGAATCTTCAGCAGTAGATAGTGATCTGGGAGTGTCTGGTCTGAAAACATTTTAAGGTAACCAATTTTTGGAATGTGCTGGGCACCCTGAAAAGTCACTCTACAAATTGTGTCAGGTAGGGAGGGCATCCTTCCCCACAAAAGTCCCTAATCAAACTATACAGAGATGGTTAAACATGAATGATTTTTTTGTATTCCAGTCAGCCTGGACCATGGCAAACTTCATTTGCTTTCTCAGCACTACTGCAGTGTTTCCAATATCTGACCCTGGAAATGCAAGCTTCCCTTCTGGAAAAAAAATCCTAACATTTGTATTCATATTCGGAATATAACAATTCCACCCTATAACTATTATTAAGTTTAATTGTATTTATTAGACAACCAAGCTATACTCCAAGCTACCAAGCCAGATGTTTTCAGTGACACCAAGGTCACTGAAGGAGACACCACTGGACCAGATTCCAACACCCCACTAGGAAGAACCAAAAGCCCCCTACTGAAATGTCTGGAACGACAAAAGTCCAAGTCTGGTGAAAGCAAAGACCAGTCAAAACCATCAATTGCAACAGAGTCACTTGACATTTCAGCTGTGCCACAGCATCTGGGTGTAGAGTCAGAATTTGGGAAAATCCTGCTGCATCATCTGCTTCAATGCCACTGCTCCACTCTCGCATTAGATCCTCTGAATGGTAGTTTTGTAACAATGCACAATCTTGTACGGTCAATTCACCCTGAATTATATATTCCAGCACCAGCTAATTAGTTTCCTCCCCAACACTGGCAAGTGCTGGAAATAGCCCTAGGGAAGTCCTAGGCCCGATTTACTAACTGTGATATGTTCTTTCCATGCAAGTTTTACTATTTCCACCAATGGGATCAGACCTGGATCAATTCCTACTTTGAATATGACACTCCCTCCCCCTGGAGACAGACAGCTTGCTTGGCTAGGCTTCTGGAGTCCTTTGCACCTTGACTTAGGCACTTGCTCTTCTGTTCAGCTTTTCTCCATCACTTCCATCTGGTCTTGTTATATTCTCCTCACGCACCAGAAAGCCAAGTGCAGTTTGGGGTGGGAACATAAGGCAGCACTCTAAAACCAAGCACTCTGCTCCAATAACTGAGCCCCATGTTAAAGATTTGGACAAAGCCTGGACCTGCAGCCTACTGCAGCCCTGAACTCTGTATGGCTTGCCATGCCACAGAAATGGAGAGGGGAGATCCTGTGCAGCTGGGAGCAAGGCAGCAGCCTTTTAAACACAGGAGCATGGGATGGATGCTCAAACACCCCCCCAATCCCCAAGTGTCACTCAATACTGCATGTACTCCCTGCTCCAAGCAGATCCCCATCCAGCTATGAGGGAAATGCCTGCTAGAGGCCGAGATATTTTGCTACTGCCAGTCCCTTTACTCCTACTTTTAAAGGAAATAAAACGTGACTACTGGAGCCGTCTCTCTCAGCAAGACTTTGCTGCCTAGGGGCTCTCATTAACAGACCCCGCCCAGCACACACACGGAACTCCCCCAGTGCTGGGAACCAGCGCTTGGGGCGAGGGTGAGAACAGAGCCATAGCAATCTCCAGGCTTGCGATAGACCGAGGGGCTGCAGGGTCAGGCGGGAGCGGCACTGCAGGAGGAGGCGGCAGCCCCAGCAGGCTGCAGCACGCAGCGCCCCGCCAGGCCCACGTGGGGGGGGGGGGCGCTGTTGCAGCGTGGAACGTTCCCGCTGGGGGTGGGGGCGCCCCCCTTGTGCAGCGCATGCGTGGTCGTCCCCCGGCAGAGGGGCCGGGGGGAACGGACCCCGCGGTACCTTGAGGACGCCGCCATCCTGCTTGGGGGTGATGTCCGCCCCCTCCAGGGGGGTCCCATCCGCCTTCATCTCTTCCGCCGTCATGCCGGGCTCTGGGCGCGCCCCCCTTCCTCGCCGGCGTCTCCGCTCGAGCTCCCGCTGCCTCCTGGCGACTGCGGCGCCTCCTGCAGCCCCCCAGCGCGAGGCGGGGAAGGGGCGGGTCCGCGCATGCGCACTGCCCGCGCTCGCCGCAGCGCCCGGGCGGGGCGGAGGGGCCGAGAAGTTTCTAGAGATGCCGCGCGGAGCGCGAGTGGGGGGCGGGGCGCTCTCCATAGCGCACTCCCCCTTCCCCACAGACCGCGGCCGGTTAGCGCTCTCGGGCTCTTGCGGGGCGTTTAACAGCCCTCCCCCTCTGACCACTTTAAAGTAAAGGGGCAGGCAGTTCCCTTCTGTCGCTAGCGAAATTGAGGCACGGAGCAACTGCGTGCGTGGCGGTGAGGCAGGCCTGGAGCTCGCCTGTCTGCAAGGGGCAGCCTAGTCAGCATCAACACGACTAACACGGGGTAGGATTGGTAGGGTAGGTGCAGCGTGCCCCTCTGCGCCCAGCCAGGCCCTGGACGCGCCTCTGCCACGTGTCTGCTCCCCAGCCCCCCCCCGGTGCCAGGTCGTGCAGGTGCCAGGTCGGGGGGAAGGGGTGAGGGGGCAGGTGCGGGGCCGGCCCTGGGCTGCCTGGTAAGAGTGCGAGGGTGCCAGCGCTCCCGGCTGGGGGACGAGGAGCGCGGCACTTCTGTGCACGCTCCCGCTCAGCAGCTTTCATCCGCTGTCCCCCGGCATGGGGTAGCGCGGGCTGTCTTTACTCTCCCTACACAGTTGTTTTCAGCTGTCCCCAGGGGAGTCCACAACAGCCCCAAAGCAGCCAGCACCTTCCGCAGCTTTCTTGAACTTTCTCTCATTTCCTCTCTGCTTTTTGGACACTACCCAAGTCGTTTTCGGGGCAGGGCGGGCACTGCAGCTGCAATGCGCTGGCAGGGGGTGCTGCGCCCTCTGCTGCCCCTTGCTCGTGCTTGCGGCAGCCATGCGGAGAATGCGGCCCTGCCTCCCGTCACGCCGGGTGACATCACCACTCTGCACCTAAGCCTTCTGCCGCCCTCCTCTCCAGAAAGCACTGGTCGTCCCAGCAAGGCCGGGGTTTCACCAGTGCTCCGCAGCAGAAACAATATCACCTGTATCTAAATGCAATAAACGGTAACCCTGCATCAGCAATCATGCCTTCTGCACGCCCTTGTAAACCCCCGCCTGCAAAGCCAAACGTCTGTCTTTTGTTCTCCCTTCTTCCTCGCAGCATCACTTGGTCCTTCTAGAGGGAGATGGTGGGTGTCTAGCAGAGCAGGTGGGCAGGCAGCTAGCCAGTGAGATTGTGTGAGCTTAATATTTTTCACATCCTGTCTCCCATGAACCGTAATGGTGGGATTGGGGTGGGGAGCGAACACCCTGAGGGCTCTGCACCTTCTGGGAACCAGTACAGCTGGCCAGCCTGACCCATCTCCAGGAAACAACGTGCCTGTCAGCTCCAAGGAAGCATGGCTTGGATACGGCTGGTGAGGGGGTATATGAGGAAGGGTTGTGGCTTCTAGGCAGCACCTTGTCTGTGCTTGCTTTCTTCGTAGAAGCTTCTAATGCTTTATTTTCCTACTGATTCACTCTGCCTGTCTATTCGTTCTCTGTTATTCAGCTGCCTCTGAGACAGCAGGAGGATTTTTTTTTTACTGCGCTGTCACACAAATCTCCTTCACTAAATGCCCTCCAATTGCAATATGTAGTATTTGACTGCTCTCCTGGGACCGTGCCTAGGTTTACCTTCCGTTGGCAAGGTCCCAGCTACTGATGTGAGCTCTGTTGTGGGACAACTACACTCACACAAAGCTTTTTCCAGGTCCAAGACCTTAAGTGATTAAATTCTTACTCTTAGAAAGAGAATAGCTGTCTCATTAAATTGAGCCTGGGCTCACTACCTTTCTACCCTCCCTCTACCTGCTCTAGCAAGCATTGTTTTATATCATAAAACAAAAAGCAACATCAATATTTTTAAATGTAGAACTGTGTGTTTTTCATACACGGGACAAGAAAGCAAAAGGTATATGGGGCAGGGTAGATTTGCATCTTATAGATTTAACTAAATCAGAGATGTATAGCATAAGCTTTCCTGAGGCCAAGATCACTTCATCAGCATCTGATGCTTGGGCTCTCAAAAGCTTATGTTTATATAGATATATACCTAATTTAGTTAATCAGGTCATATTTACCCTGCCTTCTGCCTGGCTTCAGACTAACACAGCTAACTACAGCTCTATAGAAAAGTGCATGTTGTTGGAAGGGCACTGCAATTACTACCAAAAGTTGATACTTCCAAAGAACAGGAGGATGAAATAAGCTTCATAGTGTAAACTTTATATACACTGCTGGACAGAAAATGGTGGGTTCTGTCTACACTGCAGTAACTTAACTATAGCAGTTTGACACGGTCAAAATGAGAATTTTAGGAAAAATAAAAATGAGGGAAATGGGGTAAGGTAAGGAAAAATATTTTATGGGTGTGAAGGGGACCTTAACCTTGATGCCATTAGTGTAGTAAAAGATGTGAAAGGAAACAAATGACCTGATTCTCATTTACCTCTTGTAGGGCACTTATACAGTACCAAAACACTGTAAAAGAATTGGCCTGTTATCAAAGACAGAGATCAGAGCTGACTGCTATATCCTTGAAATTGAGGCTAAGAAGTAAGCCAGATGGAAGGGAGCCAGTGGAGGGATTCAAAGAGGAGAAACGATTGGTTCAAATCGGGATCAGAATAATAATGATTTTAGCAGTAGATTTCAAACCAGATTCAAACAGCAAAAAGGCAGGTATCTAGAATGCTACAGAGCAGTCTTTTTCAACCTTTTTTCATTTGCAGGTCCCTAAAAAAATTCAAATGGAGGTGCAGACCCCTTTGAATTGTAAGTGTGGGTGTTCACATACTTTTGATTGATCACAGTCATCTTTTGCAGACCCATTAGACACAGTCTGTGAACCCCCAGGGGTCTGCAGACCACAGGTTGAAAACCACTGCTATAGAGGCAAAATGTACAGCATAAGCATGTATAAACTGGCCCTGAATAAAAAAGTTACACTGAAAATTAGGCAGGTGGAATCTCACTCTAATGGAGTTTGTGGAGAGCCAAGGGTGAAAGTGATAGCTACAGGAGAAATGTAAGGACTAGGGACAGAAATTACACATAAACTGGAAGAAGTGATTGGAAACTGGTTCAAATTTGTAGTACAACAGATGTTCAATGTGCATAAGCTGCTTGCAAAATGGCCCAAACCGGTTTAAGATAAACCTGGATGGATGTACTATTAGATTTTACTGATTTAGATTAAATTGGTATACTGAACTTCTGTCCCAGATCCCCTCCAGATTCAAGTTAATTCATAGTCCCCCCAGCATCCCAGGATGCTTTGCACCTTCCCTGCAAACCCCACCTTTCCAGGGTGGGTGGACTAACCTTTGCCTAAGCTGTCTGCTCTAGCTGAGCAGGGAAGCATGCTTTAGCGCCCCCCAACTTCTGGCTTGGGCCACTGCAGGTATGTGGCTGCATTTCTAGGATCAAAAGTGAATGTCTGTTCACTTGCTTATTGGCTCAATCTGTGTATTAGATTAACCTGTGAAGATTGAATTGATTCAGCCCCAAAAGTTTTGACTGTCTGTACTAGCCAAGGAGATTCGGGTTAGAGTGCTGGGTCTGGGTTCATAATGGGGGAGGCTGGCTATAGTTTTCTTATAAGCCCTTCAAACTATCCTAGGTTCCTAGAAACACAAATCCTGGATAGGTTCTTGGTGGACGTTATCTCCCAGACTCTCTCAAAGGACTTCCCCAACCCCATCATAAACGTTTAATTTCCTCTTATGCTTCCTTCTTTTCCTTAATTCCCTTAGCATGTCTGTTGTCCTTCCATATTCTTTTGCTGGGAGAGGCTCCCTGCTCCCACCTGCAGCTCCCACCTGAAATGGAAATCAGTAACTTACTCTTATTATAAAGAAGCCTCAAAAGTGGAGCTGCACAAACATAATTACTATGTATGTGTTGGGCTGGCTATCCACCAGTCACAGCTGGAGAGCCACTTGGGTAAACTGCTATACATTTTTTATATTTTTATTTTTGACCCATATGCACACGCACTGTATTAAAAGTGTGTTCTAAATAACTGAGGGAAATGCAGTAAACTCAGGCTAATTTGCCCACGGGACAATTTGCCATTATGGCTTAACATTTGCTGCTGTTCCAATTTGCCCGCTTTCTTCCCCCCCTCATTATCAATCCCTAATCACTGGTTACTCCTGAATAATTTGCCATTTTTGGCAAATTCCCTTTGGGGTGGCAAACTCACCAGAGTTGAACATACTGTCTCTGTCTCTACAGAAGAAACCAGTTATAAATAGTTGCAATGCTTCAAAACCTCTAATTGGTCTTAAGTGCTTAGTCAGTGAGTCCTCTTAATTCAGTTGGTTGAACTTTAAAACCTTGACAGCAAAGCAAGTAGTGCTTGAATGCTATTTTTATTTACTTTTAATAGATTATAATTAGTTTAGGCCTTAACACTTAATTGATATAATTTACTCTCTAAAAGGAAACATAGATTGTTGTTAAAAAAAAATCATCAATCTTTATCCAGCTTGGGGAATGGTAAAATAAAATAGATTATAAAAATAAATAAAATAACATTTCTTATCAAGTGAAGAGTAGCTGGTTGGTAGGATACTGTTGTCTGCATGTTAGCTCTGACCTTATGTACAATGCTCGTCAGTGGTTTGGAAGTAAATAGCACACTGGGGACATTTTCACATGGTATCCATTAGGAATGATCTGAGAAGCCAGCAAAAAAGAGATGATGTAAAGGGACCTAGAGGCAAAATATGGCTCAAAGGTAACCCAGTAAGATTTAGCTTGAAAAATACGAACTAATGTATTTGCAAAACAATAATCAGAAACATATAACAATAGAATGGGCAAGCAATGAAGCTGAAAGAGAAACAGAGGAAACTGAGGTAGAAATAAGTTTGCAATGCAGTGTATGGTAGTACAGTATAACCTCATAAATCTGGATATCAAATATCCAAAATTATCAAAAATCCAGCACTTTTTAAAACCACTAGATTGGGGAGTAGCAGCAGCCGGTCCCAGAGCAGCAGGAGGGAACCTTGCATTCAGCAGCTGCCACCGCCATCCACCACACCGTGCTGCTACTCTGGAACCGCCTGCTGCTACCTCCCCACGGCCCCAGAACCGGCCACTGCTCTGGTTTAAAAAATCCAGAGTTTTCAAATTTCTGGCAGGTGCTCAGTCCCGAGCATGCCGGATTCATGAGGTTATACTGTACTGATATTTAAAAAGATCAGTGTTGAGTTACTTGAAGGAATGGAGCAGGAGGTCCCTCTCTATAAAGCTCTGTTGTGAGCATGCCCGATATATTGCTTTTAGCTCTAGACACTGCAGTGTAATAGAATGCAATTCAGAAGAGTGTGTATATTTTAGATGCTGAAGGTATCAATCTGTGGAAAAATGGTTAAGACTATAGTTCTGTAAGGTGCTTAAAAACCTAGCTTAACAGTGGACATGTACTTGAGCCTCTCTTGCCAAATTGGGACCTAAGGCAAGGTGGAATGTGACAACTCTCTGCTCAATCTCACTGGGTTATTTTCTGCTTCTTTTTTTCTCTGTAGCTTCCTTTATACTATATTGCCTCTTGCACTGCTTTGTGCATCTCCTCTCTGTATAGTATTATCTCTGAATGCTATTTACACAATGTTGACTCCTCTTTTGAGCTCATGAATATTGATTTTTAAATGAGACTAGAGCCAACACTAGATTCTGTGATGAGGGACTTTTCCCCAGACAATTTGGTACATTACTGTTTATCTTTTTTTTTCCCCCTGGCCTATTAGCTTGCTTTCAAGCTGCAAGATAATAGTCAAAGCCATTTAAATTAAGTTTTTATGAAATCAAATTTAAAATGCCTTAGACTTTTATAAGTAGACCAACATTAGTGGCATTCATTTTGTTTGCTGGTTTTTTAAATTCTATTTTTAAAAGAGCTATTAAGATTGCCTGGGAAAATTTATTCTTTATAAACTCAAGTTTCCTGCACTTTTGTGCTTGATTAGCTAGTGGATAGCCCATACTGGATAACACAAAAAAGGATGTGT